ATGTGAAACTTACATGCTAGACGCAGTTTTTCAAACTGTTTTCAAACGGTTTACTTCATGGTGAATATATACTACAGTGCCTAATACGCTGAAAAAGGTCAGACTGTTATGACTGTCTCAGTCATAACGATTGCTCACCACTTGTGGCAACGATGAACGCTTGAAACACTTTTGACCAAGCCGCTAGCATACTTGCAAACGAGTTGAAAGTAAACAATATTCTTACTAAACTTGATCTTGAAGGGAACCAAATATCTGAGAGAGGTGGTGAAGCGTTGGAAGAAGCACTGAGACTAAACAACACTCGGACTCAACTTGATCTTAGAGGCAATCAAATATTCGATCGAGGCTGCGAAGCACTGGCAGAAGCACTAAAAGTAAATCACAGTCTGATTCAGCTGGATCTTAGCTGGAACCGAATATCCGAGAGAGGAGGTAACGCACTGGCGGAAGCACTAAAAGTAAACTATAGTCTCACTCAACTCAGGCTTGAAGGAAACGATATACGCGATAAAGGCGGTGAAGCGCTCGGTGAAGCAGTAAAAGTAAACAACACTCTCAATAAGCTATATCTCGCAAAGAACGACAGGACAGGGTGGTGATGCATTGGCAGAAGCGCTAAAAGTAAACAATAGTCTCACTCAACTTGATCTTAGATGGAACGGAATATCCGAGAGAGGAGGTGACGCGCTGGCGGAAGCACTATAAGTTTTATACGGCAGAAAATTTCATGGGATTCAGTCTATCAGATCACGAGACGACAAATTTCCGATCAAGAATGTCACGTGTTTTACAGGTGTGCAATGTCGTGATGATTGAGCGGCAAGCATAAATACAAATTTCTCCTGTATCTTTCGAAGGTTGTACATACATATAGATGAAAACCTTTGTTGTAGACCGAAGGTATTTGCTGTAGGAATGTGCCTGGGAGGAAGTATTAACTAAAATAGTTTGGAAAGGTTGGAAACTAAGAAAAAAGATTTAGGAAATTCACGAGTAATCACGCGTGAGAACTTTTTTACACGTGGTAATTCGTGACGATTGATTCGGCAAGTATGAATATGAGATTTATTCAGTCGTTTCTCAGGCAAGTTAGCTGAATACTAGTATCATAGATTTCTAATTCAAAGTACCCTGGTCGGTCTGATCCGGCTACTAACATCAATAGAAGCATTGTTCATCTCATCACTGGAAGTATCAGAGATGCACGTTTTGATGAGCCTCTTTTCATTTTCTCCACGAAATAATTTGAAGCGACTAACGATCGTTAGAATGCGTTAAATATGAAAATAATTAAATATTTCATATTTATCATATGAACGAACACTTTGAACTGTTCGATAAAATGATCTATTTTGCAAGGGTATTCCGTCCCCGTCTTTTGTGCCTTTCAGTAGAAATGCTGTGAAATAAAAACTAAAACTCACTAAGGCTTTATATTTTCAGAACTGATTGGAAACTCAATGGAACACTTTTTCGTTTTTGTTTCAAGTCTTTCATTGTTGCCATTCACCAGTTTTCCAGAAACTCGATTTTTCGTTGGACCACATTAAGACCCCGCTTAAATTTCATCTAATCAAGTTAACAATTTTACCAGAGTTTTTACCAAGAAACTATTACAGATGTATTTCTTGAGAATTTTATTTTAGACCTTTCTTTCCTGAGTTATACAGTTTCCAAAGTTGAAAAACTTGGTTTTTGAGACGTTTTTCAGTATTTTTCATATCGCTCGATCAGGAAAGGCCTTGAGAAAATTTCATTCCATGAGATTCAGAGGATCAGATCATGAGACGACAATTTTCCGATCAAAAATGACTGAGAACTAATAAAAGTAGGACAAAAAATTCAACAGGTGTCTCTTTTCCCCTCCACAGTACTCTAAATGTCTTTGTTTTGCTCAAAAATAGGACTTCGAATTTTATCAAACAAAGTAATTGCATTGGATTAAAACATAGACTATTCATCTAAACTATACGTTTTCCACAAACTCAGGATAGAAAGGTCTAAAATAAAATTCCCAAGAAATACATCTGTAATAGTGTCTTGGTAAAAACTCTGGTAAAATTTTTAACTTGATTAGATGAATTTAAGCGAGGTCTTAATGTCGTTCAATGAAAAATCGAGTTTCTGGAAAACTGGTGAACGGCAACAATGAAAGACTTGAAACAAAAACGAAAAAGTGTTCCATTGAGTTTCCAATCGGTTCTGAAAATAGTAAGCCTGACTAAGTTTTAGTTTTTTGTCGGCTATTTATTGAGATTTTTTTTCTCATGCTTTTTCTCAATTATAGTATGAAAGCAAACATAGCGCAGACAGATTATCGATAACATGCGATGTATGTAGGTATACTTTCTATTGAAATTATTTGTATGGACTCAAAATCTGTTCGAATCGTTTTCTAAATTAATGAAAGAAAATCAAATTATCATATAAAAGCTCAACATGTATTATATTATAAACTAAATCTCAACTTTAAATAAAAAATGAAATCTAATTCATATCATCATTAGTCTAATTAAATCTGAGCTCATTAAGAGTAGTTTTTGTTATATTCAATGTTTTATGTAAGAATTCATTCTTCGTTCGTTCACATTTATTTTATAGCAAATGATTTTTCTGTACATTCAGAAATAAAAGTAATAAAACAAAAAAAAATAGATATATCACTAATTCTACTATAGGAATGCTATAATGACTTTAATCCATTAACGATTTGTCTACTGTTAAATCCACCGGTGCTTCTCCATCATGATTATTTAACATCCAGTCGTATGTCTTATAGGATATTCGAAGTCCTTCTCTTGCACCTTGTTTATCTAAGAGAGTTTTTAACAACGATTGCTTTGGTTCATCGATATACTTCGCTATCCATCTGAAACAATAATATTTATTGCATCACTTAATACTACGCTGTGTTTCACATCGACTATTACCTTAGAACTTCTGTTTCTGATCGTCCAAAATCACTACGATACCATAGAAATAATTTTGACATTCTGATTTCTTGATTATCTAATACAATATCCACTTCACCATTACAAAAACTTGTTGTGGCCATGTTTAAAGCTTTTTCAAGATTTGTTGAGGAATAAATTGCAATTTGTGGACAAGACTTAAAGACAAAATTTATATGAATGAGACCTTCGAGAAAATACGCTTACCTTCGCTCCACAATTTAATGCAAAATGTATCCTTGGATCACACTTTCTCATGGAATACTTGGCTCTTGGATCATTATAGGTAAAATGGCGTTGAGTACAATTTGAATGTGGTTTATTACCTGAAAAGAAATATTTGAATACACACACTACTCTTCATTGAACACTTAGATTACTGATATCTACCTCTTAATATTCCATGTTCAATATCATCTAACGAGTAAATGTGTGCTCCCACTTTGTAAGCTGTTGTTTTTGAAAACTGATTCAAATCAAGAATAGATTTTGGTAAATCGGTAGTAGATGTTATACCATGGATAGTTAGTGCATTATACAGATATACAAAGTATTAAGAGAAGATTTTCGGTTAGATTAATGTGTATACCATTCGGTGTAGCTCTGTATAGCTCTGCTATCTGAGTGAAATTCTTAGCAACTATCCATATATTTTTCGATTCTCAGTGGAATCAGTGTCCGCAAAAAATTGAGCGAACAACGGTACAGTAGCGATACATTCCAACGACAGGAATCCATAAGATACAATCGTACAAGAGTTTCATCCGGCAGGCAATTTTTGGATTTTGTTCTTCTTATAGTTTTTCAACAAAAGAATATTCAGATCTGCGTGCCACATTCACAGTTGTGGAGTAAACTGTTGTGAATCAAATGAGATGTTTCCATGTGATCTTTCGTTTAGAAAAGACAAAAAATATACGAAACATCCTTTTTCAAGTTTATGTCAGAAAAGTAACGTTTCTTATGTTCTTTGCATTTTCTAAACGAAAGATCACATGGAAACATCTCATTTAATTCATAACGGTTTACTCTAAAATTGTGAATATTGCACAGATCGAAATATTCTTTTGTTGAAAAACTCTAAGAAGAACAAAATCTGGAAATTTCACTCCGATACTAGAATTATGTATCTGCATGGTATACTTTTACTACTACAACTAATCAAAGGATACTAATAAAAAATGTTTTGCGTTCATTTTCTGTTACATTATCCAAATTAATTGTTGTTAATCTTTGACACATTTCACAATAATCAACATAAGTTGAACTTTTACGTAAACGAATATAATTTACATTTCGACCACTGGCATCGATAAACGATGCTTTCAAACTAAAATGAATACAAATTTTATCTCTATTTTATAAAAATACTACAATATTCATTATTTACTTGAGCATTTTCTTTTGTAATTCAATAGATAATTGAACAGCATTAAAACCATTTTTTGATTTTGGTTCAAGATTTTCATTTGTTTCTTTTTGTTGTTTATTTTCTATATTTGTTAAATCAGACGTTTTTACTGTTGAAATTTCACCATTATTAGTGATTTTAAATTTATCTTGAGGTGTACAATTTAAAACATTTAGTAAATAATGAATTGAATTATCTGTAATCTCATCAGGACACACACCATTAATCACTTTGACACGATCTGTAGAACAAAGGAAACAAACATTATAATATAGAATAAATCAAATTTGTAGAAAATTGTACTGATGGCACATCAATCATTCAACTAGAGTTAATAAATTTTAAGATTTGTCCTTTCTAAAGTTTACCTAAAGTTAATTCAATGTCAATTATACATGTATAATCAATTTGTAGAGAGTAAATTTGAAATAGGGTATTATTATTCAAAAAAAGATAAAAATACCATCTGTTGTTAGTCAAATGTCAGATGACAAAAAACAAAACAAAATACACTATTACCAACATGCTCTATGCTATTTTTTCAATTACCCTATATTTGATTGACAAACAAAATAATATATAAAAATTGTTATTTAATTAAATTTTGTCTGATATGTAACTATTTCATTTAAATTAGAAATTGCCGGAACAAATTTATTCTCTTTTTCTATATAAGATAAACAGTAAACTATTTGTAGGCCTACACAAATAATTATAATAAGAATTTGAAAATCGATCGGAAAAAAATTTATTTTCTTCAGGGAATACTTTTATTTTTATCAGTTTTTTTATTTTTTTTTACTTTGTCATTTCTAAACACGATCAACAACATTTTATTAATTTTTCCACGCAATAAATAATTACCTTGAAAATGATTAATAAATTTACCTTAACTAGAAAATACTATTTCGTTGTTTTTATGATATATTTGATAACTTCTGTTGCTCGTAGATTTTAAGAAAATCATTTTGAAAAATGAGTGAGAATATTAAATTTTTCAATAGAAATCTTTCAAGAAAATTATCTGTTAAATCGGAAAATTAGCTGAAAAACAAGATAAATTAAAACAAAAAATTTCTCTAAAAATGATTCATTATCATGACAAGCAAAGATCGATATGTAATTATTAATTTAATATTCAACAAGATATTTTCAATTATTGAAAATTAAATAATATCATAGATAAAATTTTATATCTTCTTGTTTAGTATCTTCATTTGAATAAGTAAGATTTTTTATATTATATTTTTTTAGTTAAACGGTGTGTTGAGATGGAAACATAACGCACACAACAGATTAATTCCCAAGACAGTTGAAATAACAAGAAAAAACTAAAAAGAGTTTGTTATTAGAGCACATGTTTATCGTAATACAAAGAAACGAACGTTGAAGAATTATGTACTCTATTGATTGGAAAGATTCTCTTCTGTTTCTACTCATTATCTATATTTTCGGATAAATTTCATTTTATTGAAAAAAAACAAAATAATTTGTAAAGAAAAATATTAGTTTCCATTACAAATATTTGTAATATTTATAATCTTATTGTTTAGATCAAATTTATTCTTAGAAATGACATTGAATTTTGTTTAGTATTAGAATTACGATCAATTAATCTTAGAAAGTCAAAAGAAAAACAAAAAATAAAACAACAAAAGCATTCAAAAATGATAACTACTTTTAATATGTGATTGTAATAATATTGTAGAATTGATTTATTGCTCGGAAAAGTTTCTCAATTCTCTTTGATACGGAGAAGAAAAAGAAGAAAAAAAGAAGAACATAAAAGAAATAAATAAATTTATAGTGAAACGGATATATTCATTAGTCAAACAATCAAATAAAACAGGAAACAGTTATAACATTGTTCGTCGTCAATCGCATAATGTTAACAATAATACGTATAAAATAAATAACACATCTCATAAAAATAAATCAAAAAATATGTGAAACTTTTGACAATCAATTTAATTTATTTCGTTTAGAGTATCAAAAAAGAAAAAGAGAAAAAAAAGAATCATATAGGTAACTTCTAGTTTAAAATAATAAAATAACAATCGTAACGGAAATAAATCATAAATTAAAAGATAAATAATACATGGAAATATTTAAAGGAAGATAAGTGTGTGACAAATAATTGAACAATTTATTAATTGAATAATAAATCCGATGATTTTTATAGATAATATTTTCTACAATTTCTTTCGTTTTTAAGTTGACCATTTTCAAGAGAGTTATCTATTTTCTTATTTTTTTATTTTGTTTTGTTTTTGTTGAAGTAAATGAGAGTGTTCTTCAGACACTTATCAATTATTAGAACGAAAAGTGGCTACCACACCATTATCAGAACATTGGATAATTCAAAATAAGAGAGAAAGTTAAATAGTCGATAATTTAGAAAAATTATAGAAATATGACAAAGAATGTTGTCATTCTTGAATGTTAATATGTTTTGATCCTTATCGCAATTTTTCTTATTATTAATTGATATTACAGATGGTCTATAAAATGTTTTTCTTTTTTTTCTTCTATTATGATAGAAAACAAAACAAGAGAAAATCTTATTGTTGTCTATATTGCAGATATATAAAGATATATGTTGTCCTTGAATACAGATGTTTTTTCTGCTCAATTTCATCCATCTAGATCATCTAGACTATTATATTTGGAATATACATCATTATTACTTTTATTCAATTCTTTTATATTAACAGATTTATATTATCGTTTTCTTTACTCTTTATAATAGAAAAATTGTCTTATATATATATATTTTTACTCAACAGGATGATGATCATAAAAAATATTGACACTGTTTTGACTATATATAAAAGGTCATTATACGTACAAAAGAGAAAACGAAAAACTATTAAACTGAACATTCAAATAACGTTCAATTACATAAATAATTATTAATATTGACTTTTATTTTATAAGAATGATATTAGAAAACAAATGTCGAAAATAAAAAAACTATAACAAATTTAGTATAGAATACTAAATATCAAAAAGTTTATGTGAAAATTTAATTAGACAGTACTCGAAAATATTTCACACCAATGCAAGATCAAGAGATTCATTGAACATTATCTTTAGCAACTAAGAGAGATACTTCATGAAAATGATGAATGTAAAAAAATAAGAAAAAATGTGTTATTCATGACATTTTTTTTGTTCACTTATTTTTATCGTATTCCATCTACTAACTTTTTCATAATAGAAATTGTGATCTACAAATTTTATCTATTATACTATGAACCTTTGTTTTTAGAAGTTAAATCCCACAGGAAAAATCATTCATCGCTTTTCATCCATAATCGAACATCACATACCGTTCACCTTTTTTTTTTCTATTTTTGAAGATTTGATAAAAGTAAAACAAAAATACGGCTCTTTTTCACGGTAACTCAATATAAATCAAACAATAAAATTTTTCATATTTACTTTTTAGTTTTTTAAACTTATCTAATTTTTTTCACGAATCAAATCCTCTTGGTATCAACTACTGGAAATTTTTAGATTGTGCTATGAATTCTAAATAAACTATTCAATCTTTACTTTACCATTACCAGTTCCGACAGGTGTAATACGAAAGATGTGACAGAATGTACATTCTCTTGCTTTTTAATAAAAATTGTTCTCTCTTAATCAATCTATTTTCTTCTAAAAATTTCGGTTAACCTCTTGTCCAGATTGGATGGCGAATCGAATCAATATTTAACGAAAACATGTTTTCTTCGACTCATTCTTCAAGATGAAAACAGATCAAACTAATATCAATATGATCGTTATTAATTTTATGATTTTCTTTCAAAAAAAAAATGGACACCTTCTCTGTTGTTTCCACTCGCCACGGTACTGACTATTACAAATTTAGAAATCTATTAGAGTAGAAAAGAATACTTTTCAAACTTTTGAAATTATCCGTTATAGTTTAGATAAGATATAGAGATGGATTTAATGCATACATTTTCCCACTAAAACGAAGGTTATAATCAAACTGTAAAAAAAATTGTACTCTCAAGAGTTTTTAGTTTCGTGTAGAAAAAGTAAAAAAATTCCTTGAAATTCTTGTCATGTTTTTCAAAAGAGAGACACTCACTGTTTCCTTTTTTTATCTAACAAGTAAGCGTGTAAAAACAGTCCTATACATATACATACACACACACACACACACACACATAATTGTCTTTCTTTAACCATCCACTAATAAACTTCGATTTGTTTTATTCTAATTTAATGAGTAAACAAGCGAGAACAAGTCATTAGAGCATAAAAGCATTTTTTTTTTTTATTTTTATACACACAAAACACAAAGAATTTTCTGAAATATAACAAGTGAAAGAAAAAACAATTCTTAGATAAATATGACGTAAATATGTGACTGTAATCAAAATGATGATAATGATGCTAAAATTTCTTTAGACCAAAACACTCGACACAAAGCAAATATGCTGCAGTATTATAGGTTATGTTGCCAAATATAATTTTAACTTTTTAGTGATTAATACGACCTTTTCTTATATGCCACGTGTCGCATGCATCCACCATACCGGATATCAGAACTATGATTACGAATTTGACAATTTCCTTTAACAAACATACTTTATTCTGATGACAAAATAAGACAAATCATGCTGTTAGAACATCAACCAAACAAAGAAAGAACTTCTTTCATCCATGTATATTATATTGTCGATGAGTCTCTAATGGTCATTGCATACTTTATGAAACTCTTTCTCTATCTCCCGACGGTTAAAAATTAATAGTTGCCAAAAGCAAATATCTTTCTAAGAATAAGATTCTACACATTTCGAAAAATCTCACAATATAAAAGCCAATTATAAGAGAAATGTAGTCTATCTTCATATTAAATATTAAAAAAAGGTGTAAAAACTAGAATAATCACTTACAAAAGGGTCTTGAACTATTGGATCTTGCATAACGAGACATATTGTTTGTTTTCAATATCTAAATGGCATGATTGACTATTTAATCTTTGTACACTGTGTCCAAGTTTACTTTTCCAATCGTTTATCCTTTTCTTTTTCTTCTCTAATAAATCATAATCCAGTTTTTGATAAAAAAAAACAAATTTTTTTTTTCTTTTCTCTTTCTCTCACTCTCTGTCTTCTTAAGGTAATAATATTTTCTTATATTAAGACATCGTGCATCAATTGGCAACACACATAACATTTAAACTCAATTGAAGCCTAGAGCCGTAGAACTAAAATATATTTTCTTTCTCTTTTTTTTTTCAAACAATAACCATAAATAGAAACAAAATTCTCTCATAGATCAACAAAAAGAACCTCTTCTTTTTTTTCTTTTTCCGATAAATATATATATTTCTCTCTCTCTCTCTCTCTCTCTTTATCTATCCGAAATTATTTCTCTCTCTCTTTCTCTCTCCATAATGATGATGATGATGGTGATGATCACCTTCTTTTCTTCTATAGATTCCTATGAACATATTCCTTGCTCATAAAAAATTTTTTGGCAGATGAATAATCGAGAAAAGGCACTCTGTTTTTTTTTTTTCATAATCAATGCTTTTTATCACTTTTCCACCAGAGAAAAAGAGAAAATCCTATTTATTTAATCTATCAATATACAGTAACTGATTTTTTCCATTATTATTAAACAAAAAAAAGTATAAACTCAACGATCTTAATTGAAAATATAGTTAATTAATGTATGAATATAATTTTATACTTATAGGTATATCTAAATTTAGAATATTCGATTAATATTTTTTAATCAACATGTTTATTATATTTTATCTTTAGGCAATTGTCAATATTTTAAGTTAATTTATTAGATTTTTTTTTTATTAGAAAAAAAACTAAAATTTAATATAAAAATAAAGTTAATTTGAAATTATTGATATACATTTAATATGATATGAGTAGATCTTGTAAAACAAAAGAAGAAATAGTACAATATTTGTAAGATACTATACAGATGTGGATATATTCTAACAATTTTACCATAGTACGTGATGTTTATATGTCATTAGAAAACCTAGAACAAAAATATTTATGACACGCAACTTACATCTACAATTGACTACATCTAGCTTTAAGACGACTATGATGTGAAACTAGAGAAAGAGGAAATACACCCTTCACTTCTAGTTCCTGTTCTTTCTTGGATCAATTTCTGAATATATGGCTAATATATTCAGCTTACAGAGAGCTTTATCAAAAGGGCAAAATGATGAGTATTGACTGTCACTAATATTCAAGTGTCAATGCTAATAGACTGCTGATAGCGTTTCGACAAGTAAATTTATTCAGTTCCTGTTTATCTACTACTTATATTACTTTAAAAATACAATAAAAGTAGAATAGAGCAACAGAACAAAAATATATAGCATTAATAGTATTGCAGGTAAAATTAATTGTTGCAGTTTCAAAACAACTGAAGTAATAAAAAAATAGATGGATATCCTACATGTAAATATTTTATAGGTAACAAACATAGTTTGATTGATGCAATAAAATGACAAATAAAAATAAATAGATTTATCAAGAATTATATACATTTTAAATATGTTTGATAGAGTGATAGAGAGAGAAAAACGAAAGAAATTATCGGATTCTTCGTTGAAACTGAAATAATTTTAAAATGTTAAAAATAATGATGTATTTTCTTGTACATCTTTTTCTATTTCTTCTATTTCTATTCATTTTGTAAATGAATTTGTTGATACTTTCTAAATTGAATAACATGTGGCATTTTACGAATAGATAATTCACATTTATATATCCATTTCAGTTCGGTTTTAAATGGACAAAAGGCCTCAACATCACTATGTTTTGATCGATCGAGATTAGAAACTTTATGAAGAGTATCTGAATCGTATAGTCTCAAACCGAAATAAGTTATTGCATCATCATCATCGGCATCCTGATCTTTCTCACAGTTTGATTGTGACAAATGACGAGTTTCAAAACTTAATAACTAACGATCTAACGGTGATTCTCCCATTTGTGTACGAAAACATTTAACACCTAAGGAAAAAATGACTTAAAACTTGCAGTAATTTTTGATTGTCAAAAATAAAAATGCACTGTGACCAGCATTATATGGTCTATATGATAACATTTTAGATGGTATTCACCTTGAAGAGTTATTTTAATATTATCATGACGATTAAATGTTGAATGAAATATCAGCCACAACATATTCCAGGTGGGTTACATTCTCACATTTAAGGACATCCAAATGAATTTCAATTATACCAAACGGAGGGAGATGACTAAAATAGATAAATAGTCACATTAGTCAAAAATTGGTCGGATGAACTCTTTTTTCATCCTCAAATTATGAATACGTATAATCATCGTTTTCACTTAAATTCGAAATACGAGCTATATAACATCACGATCAAAACTAGTATGCGTGACCAACCTTGTAAATGTCTTCTACTATTTAATAAATGCCGGTCACTTAACATCGGTTGCTGACATGTTGTACGACTACTAGGCATTACTGACGAATATAATTATTAGTCGAAAAACGTTCTTATTCGACTACATCTACCAATGTGAATCCCAGACGTTCAGGATCTTTATCTTGATCACGTAATTATTTTTGTCGATTGTTGTAGATGAGTATGACTATCGTACACCGGTTTTTCAACACTATAATGATCAATTTTTGTCAAAACTAGAACTTTCTTTTCTTGAATTTTAGAGGATTCACCAAGAATGTGTTAAAAAATGCTTTCATAAATCATCAATACGTTTAATTTCAATACGACGTAAATCAGACATTTCCTAGATAACATAAAAAGAGACTTTCAAATAAATAGAGAGACATGTGCATTCCTTCTTCATCTTAAAATCTGGTATTTTTGATCTCTCATCGACGTAAATCTATTTCCCAGTTTAAGTCCGCTTGAAAAAGCCATAAGCTCTCGAGTCCACTTTGAACTTGTCTAGCTGTGGTACGATGCAATTTTGGAACATAGGACTTTGTTCCTGTTGCAAACATTTACAGAATAGTATGATTAGAGCTAGTTTTATTTAAAGAACTAAAACTACACTTAGAGAGATTGACGATTGGTTGAATTTGCTTCAATCTAATGATTAGAAACGTACATCTTCTCCTCAGAATTCTGTTCGGATCAATTGTTCTCTTAAGTCTATTAGATTTTCTTCGGATCAGTTTTTATCTTCATCTTTTTGTTTTCTCCAAGAGCATTCACCTGAAGATGATACGATCAATGACATCGATGATATTTGATAATCATCATGTTGTGTTGATGTAAAAATACAAATGGATGATTTATCACAATGCTTAAATGATCTATGCAGAGAATGATGTCGATTATCAAATAAATCTTCGGCTTCATTAGTTAACGATAATAACTTATTCCATCGACTAAAAAGATGGATGGCATTAGCGTGCTTTACTTTAAAAAATTATAAAGTTTCTTCGCCTATCCCATACCGTTCTGAAGGGATTATTGATTCCAGTGCGGTAAAAGCAACATGGAGTATCAACACCTACAAAAAAAAGTAGATGATATTTCCAGTGTCTTGATCGATTAGCCATACTATAGAGGATTATATGCAGTAACACTAAACCTTTATAAAACTTAGTTATTTTTTTCTTTCATTATTACTGAAACAATGTTTATTACTTGCTCCTTATTTCTGGTATCAGCAGTTAAACATATAATCTACTGGAAGCATTGCGCGCCCATTAATAATTCTTCCACTCGAAATCTCGTCATAGTTCTTCGGACCTTCTTGCCAATCATAAATATCGATAGAAAATGTATTTTCAATGCCATAAAATACAAAAGCCTACATCTTTACTTCGCGTAAACTATTATGTCTTTGACAGAGAAAAACGAGCTATAATTATTTTATGTCATCTGAGAATCTGTCGTGTACGAAGCAGAGGAGGAGCGTCTGTGTAGTTTTCTTATGTTCTTTCTTCTCTTTTTTTTAGATCTTCCTATTGAGAGCAATAAAATACTATGATCTAGTGTTTATAGGTTATAAATCTGGAAAGTAAAAACAAAATTGTCGAGGTCGCTCATATCTTGCCTAATCATGCATTGATTAACAGTTTAGCCATGAAAACGAATTGAACTACTCTAACATATCTGATAGCATCATTATAAATAAATAAATAAAAAATAAATCACAATGTGGATAACATAAAAAAATAGTAGATATAATAGTAAAAGTTACACTTTTGATCGTACAAGAATCCAGAGAGCATTGCAGAAAATAATTGGATAACATAATGAGCGAATGGCCAACAGCCACAAAAGATGTCGCCTATACATCGTGGAGATAAAAGAAGCGTATACATTACGTTCCTGTCTTGTGTAGTTTTTGAGAGATTGATTTCATCCATGAAAGCCCATACTGTAAAACTGAAAAGAGAAAATTCTGTGTTTTTTTTATCTACCTTTCTCTGAATCATATACAAAAAGTCGTTCCATCACTGACTAAGGTGCGTGAAATATGCATTCACGGGCTCCACGAAAAGCCCTAAATTAATTTCTTCTTATTTCTGTAGCTTTGAGCTGACAATGAACATTTAGGGCTTTTCGCGTAAATTCTATAACTTTGCAAAGAAAGGTCCTATAGAGCTGGGAGATATCTCCTTTTAATCAGAAAGTTGCGGTCTACAATCATGCCTTATTAAGAAAGGTTTTGGTTAATTTTTAGAGTTTCTGAAAACCTGGTTTTCCAGAAACCCGGTCTCTGGAGACATAGCAGCACAAACTAATGTCAGATTGGGATTCAGCGCAGTCCATTACCTATTGTTCACCAGAATTCAAGCAAAGAGCGATTGCGCACTTGGGAACCTTACCTCGCTAGTCAATGATGGAACGAATTTTTGTATATGATTCAGAGAAAGGTAAATAAAAAAACACTTTTATTTATTTTTTTTAATTTTTTTTTTTCAGATTTACACTGTAG